CTGGTCTCTCCTTTTCCCTGGCCTCCAAAGATGCAAGCTTTGACCATGAGATGACTTTATCTGCATGATAGGCAAAATGTATCTTCTTCCGCATTCACTTTGGGCTCTGTCATGTGACCCACTTTGGCAGACATGAAATGAGCAGAGTCTTAGATGCATGTGCTCATCACCCCCTCCTGCCCATGCTATCGCCATGAGGAGAGATTCCCCATGTAGTTTCTGTCTCCCCTACTCCGGCCTAGGTCCCCGAATGAACACAGATGACCTGAGCCCAATTCCCTTAGAAGAGCCAAAGCCACATGGACACACGATTTGACCCAGCCAAGCCCCAGCTGACCCACAAACATGCAAGTGAGAATAAATGACTTTTTGTTTCAACTGGTCTTGGGTGGTTTGTAACCGTAGTTGACTAATGCAGATGAGAAAGGCATCTCAGGCAGGGACTGGACCACAAGATGCACGAGGAGGGGAAAGAAAGAGAGCCAGACAGGAAATGAGGCTAGGAGTATAGGTGTTTAAAGGTCTTCACTGTTAGGGTAAGGAGTTCAGTCATTTTTCAGTATGCTGTGGGAAGGAAGCATTGGAAGTCATTCAGCACAGAAAAATCCAAATCCAGCTAGAGAGGGTAAGTTTGAAAGTAAGTACAGAGGGCTGGGGATGTGGCTCAAGCGGTAGCGCACTCGCCTGGCATGCGTGCAGCCCGGGTTCGATCCTCAGCACCACATACAAACAATGATGTTGTGTCCGCCGAAAACTGAAAAGTAAATATTAAAAAAAAAAAAAAAAGTAAGTACAGAATGGTCGACAAGTCTATTCTGGTGCCAATACCATGCTGTTTTTGCTGCTATACCTCTGTAGTATAATTCCGTATTGTGATGCCTCCTGCTTTGGAGGGCTTTCCAAAAGACCTAGTAGGAAGCAGTTTGTTTTTGCTCTCTTCCCTATCCCTGAACCTAGCACTCTGACCCGTATGTGGTAGGTACTTGAGAAACACTTGCTAATTGAATGAGTGTGTCATGAAATTGAGAATGGGCACTTAGACCATAGGTGTCTCTGGTAATTCACGTCTTTGTTTATTCACTCCCCAATGTTCACTTCCTGCTTCAGTTAGGGAGTGCTTGAGTCTGGGCTCTAGGCTAGACAGAACCTGCAGAGAGATCCACAGCATCCTTCCCCATATTTTCTAGAAAGGGGTTCAGGCCATCCAGGAGAGAAGATTGGAATGTGAGAGTGAGTAACAGTGGGAGAAGTGAAGTCAGGCACCAGGGAGAGGGATTCCCTTCTCCTGGTCACATGGACATGGTGGGAGCCTCATCTTTGCTGGCTTTACCTGAGACAGGGACAATGCCATTCTTACTCCCACTGAACCCCAAGGCTCGTTATGCAGAGGCCACTAGGTTTGTGAATTCTGATTATATCTGTCCTTTCCTTTTAGTCCAATTTCCTAACACCAAGTTGTCCCATCTCTTTAGGCCGGGTGTCCATATCTGCATTCCGTAATCTGCTCTGGGACAGGTTCCTGGCTGGGTGTTGGGGAAACATGGATGTCTAAGAAGGGGACCCTTTTCTAAAGGAGGGCACAGCCCTGTGGTTCCAAAGTCCTGAAAGGATGACTTCTGCCACATCTTGGACCTCTCCCAGTCTGTGTCCTTATCTGTAAAATGGCCACTGACAGGCCTGGGTTCAAATCCCATATCTGCCCCTTGCTAGCTGTGTGACCTTGAGCAGATCATTGCCCGACTAAGCTCCTTTGCAAGGCAGTCTCATCTTCTCTGTGAGTGTGACAATCCTGTGACAACATGTCAAAGAGAGGCAGAGTGTAACTTTAGAGAATGTCAGCTCATTAAAAAGTACCCAAGGCTGGGTGAGATGAGGATAAAGCCCCAAGTTCACAACCCTGTTGGTCAGGGCTACCCCAGAGTAGCAAGTATCCTGGTCCTTGCTGAGGTCACAATCCCAGTGAGCATTTCTTGTACCAGCCCCAGGTCAGGAGACATTAAATCCCTGCCTGTGGACCACTTGGAATACAAACACAAATTGGCAAGCAAAACCTGCAGACTTCAGTGAGGATAGCCTGGGCCAGGGTTGGTAAGCGGAGCTCATTTCCTATGTTAACTGAGAAGCTAATGGTGGTGGCTACCGTAGATCTTGAGAATAATTGGGAGACTCCATTGGAACTTAACTAAGACACGGGGCTACAATAAATCATTGAAGGGCACAGGAGAAACCGGGTGTAACACATGTGCCAAGTGCTTGCCAGGCCAGTGTATTTCTTCAGCTTATGGAATCACTCACTCACTCATTCAGCAAACTATTCTGAGCACCTGCCCTGTGTCCAGGAAAACATGCTGGGTGTGATGCTATGTTCCTGAACCCAAGACGAATTACTTGGTGTTAACCACTGTTTGGCATTGACTTCCTCCAGTTGCCCAGGAAACCAAGAGTTCTTGTCCCTTCATGACTGCCCATGCCTGATATCCTGACCTTCTGGCAGCTCATTTGGGAACTTGGGGTTTTGGGTTTTGGAGGGAGTAAAACTGCAATTATTGCCATGGGAGCAGTGTACAATTTACCTTCTTGGGATCTTTAGGAAAAGGAATCGCTGAGCTAATTAAAATGGCAAATACATATTCATGAAGAAATGTGCATCTGGGTCATGCACACAGAGTTGTCACAAGACAGGGATGTTTTGAATCAAATATGAATATGCTAATTTCAATAGTTATTATCTCTGTGGAGCAGGTAATGGAAGCATCTTCAGAAGGTGATACTTTCTTGCCTCACTCCTGTTACCATGAGGATCAGTCAACCAGGATGGCACCCACCACATGCCCATCTCTGCACTTAGAGTCACAGTCATCAGTTCTATTTGTTGTTGAACAGTGTCTGTTCACAGTGAGATAGCACACAGTGACATCTCATTTAGGCAACATCAACATAGAGTGAGCTCTTCCACTGAAAATGAATGATCTAGAAAATAAAGTCACAACTCTTGGGCTTCATGCTGTTACTCTGACATGAATACATAGGATGGAAAGCTTCTAAAAGGATGTTTGTCACATGCTGCAGCTGACTTTCTCTTGAAGACTCAGGGCCACCTACAGTTGCCCTGAACATCATACAATGAGATGACTCTAGGCTACTATTATTTTCTAGTTCCTGGAAGTCTTTCTGACCACGCATCCTCCCCCTCAGAGTCATCTGAACATTCTGACTTCTTAGTGCAGCGAGCATCCTTTGCAATTCATTGGTTGCTTTTCATCATTTGTAAGCCAGGAAGCCAGAGGACCAGACTTTGGAAAAGTGAATCCAAAATGAAACTAAACAAATTCAGATGAAGACGCCAAGGCTCTGCTAGGAGTCAAGTGCATGAGTGCTGGTGGTGTTGATTTTGTTGTTAGAACATGCCTTCAGGATGTGGGAAGTTGCGGGATTGAGACTTCTGGTTAAGTATTCCACATGTGTGTGTGTTCATGTCTATTTACATACACTCATGATACATGCAGGGTGGGAGGGTGATTCAGCTAATTTGGTTTCTGAAGGGCTCTCCCTAGGCACAGGGACTCCACACATTCTTTATATGCTCTAGGAGCCAGTAATCAGCTCACTAAAGAAAGAATTGACTAATAGCTATCTTGCAATAGTTGCCCCGAGGGCCCTGAGTTCCTGCCATGGGTGTCATGCCAGCAAAGGACAGGTAACTAGTCATCTAAGCACATGATTGAGAGGATTTAAATACTTGTCAAGTGATTGAAATATTTTTGTAATTAAGAAAGTTTTCCACTTTGTCAAAGTATAGTCAAAGTACACTCAACTGTATATTTGAATGGTTGGCCTGATTGATTTCTAGAACCCCCTTCTTGAAATTAGGCAAAGCTATGCTGTCTAAATAGAAACCTGCACGTCAAGTGTCCATACGCAGTTCAGGTTAGTGATCCTCTTCCTGGAGGGGTCTGCATGAACTGGGGTCTGTCATGTATTCACCAGGCACTCTGGTAAGCACTTCCTGGGTCATTTCATGGGAAGCTGGCTGGAAATTTGTCCCTTCTCGCCTGAGCTTCATGCTGTACAAGTAGAAATAGATGACATTTCCTTTGGAGCTGGCTGATAGCCAGACAAGTCAGGCCATAAATACTAAGGAGGGTGCTGGGCCACTTTCTGGCAGGTGTGTTGAAGGCTATGAGCTGCGTGGGTCAGTGCTGGGGAGCAGCCACCAGGTTCTTCTGGCCTGGCCACAGCCCCTCTGTCCTGTTGCTCCCAGATGTCATCTCACACACAGTCCTGCCACCTCCCTATTCTTTGTGCCTGAGTCACTATTGGGACTCAAATTCTTTGAGACTTTGTGCTGATGTTCAAAGGCCTTAACAGGCTTCTTTGTAAACAGTTCCAAAGAGTTCTTCAAGTGACACGTATGGCTTCATGTGGCCTCCTCGATGGGTGTAGCCGGGGCTTTGGTTTGTTTGGGTTCTTTCCTCCCTTTGTAAACAATGAGGAGAGTCTGCTGCAAAATATTCTTCTGGAGGGGGGAACAAGGGGAGAGAGGTTATTCTTCCTTCCCTTCTCTGTCCCTTGTGGCTTGAAGGCAGCCTCAAATTTCCAAAAGTCCTTTTTGAGTACCCTGGTTCCGAATGACCTCTAATGCTAAGGGGTCAGAACTGGGAGGAACTCAGGGTTGACTCACGACTCCAGGTTAGCCCTGTTTCCTCACACAGACGAGGCAAGAGAGGTGTGACTTCCACATTTAGATAATCAGCACCATTCAGAGGCCTGGCAGAAACAGATTCCCTCCACATCCACTGGAGCTGGGGTTCAGGGAGGAGCCAGGGTCTGTTAGGCAGCTATTTCCAGGACAAGGGGAGGGAGAAGACACTCTAGTTGTTACTGAAGCTGGTCAAAGGCATTGAGCTTGCTGACCTTCTGCCCCCAGGTTTCTCCACAGGAGTTCACTTGCGTCTCTGGCCCCAAAGGGGATTTTGTTTTGCAGGAAGGGGGATGCTTAATTGTGAGTCCAGGTCTGTGACTTGGTTTTGACCTTGCCACCTACCCCATCGCTTTGTAATGCAGAGATGCAGCCCCAGATTCCCAGAGAAGCCAGGGCTTCTGACAGAATCGAAACCCCTTCCTCTCTCTCATTTAGAATAGTCCCTCTTCTCCAGGGACTTTGAGTTGAAACTACAACCTGGTCCTGAAGCTTGAGTTGAACCTACTTGATCAAGTCCTGGAAGAAAAATCAAAGGCTACTGAGGAAGAATCATGTGCAGTGCCCAAAGTCCCTGAACAAAAAGGACTTAGTCTTTGAAGATTGGGTCAGATGGCTCAGTGCCCTGCAGGGAGAGAAAAAGGCTCGATGGAGTTAGGTAAAACCCTGGGGAAGAGAAGAAATGGTGTCTGCCTCGGGTGGGCGTGAGGGCAGCACCCTCCTGGGCAGGGCTTTTGAGGGCTGCTGACCCTGGCAGTGCCTGGTGGAGGCAGCGGCTCCCCTCCCTGGGCTTCCACTGCCTCATAGGCCACGTGAGAGAAACGGGATGAAGTGCCTGCTCCCAGCCTGGGCCCCTAAGCTCCCTAGCCCTGGAGGAAAGTCATGGCTGAAATCCCAAGGCTGCTCAATATTAAAAATAAATAAATAAACAAAAAACCCGCCAGAAAACTGTTGGAAGCAAAACTGTAAAAGATAATTCAAATTTCGAGTTTTTAACCCCTGCCCCCCAATGTATCAATATACAGGGCTCCAACACTGTTTATCTTTTTTCCTAATCAGAAGCCTGGACTGGCATTTTGACAAAATCATTTGGGACAGAGATGCAGTTTGTTTAAATATTTCAAATATGGCACTCAGTAGACTAGGGGTGGGTGGGGTGGAGGGGGGGTGAATTTTTCAGTAAAAAGTTTGAAAACCGTATTTTTTGGCACTTAGAACTCTTCATGAATTTCGTGCCCGTCCCTCAAAAAGCCTATGGGTGATGGTTGCAGACTCTCCCCCCCTCCTAAAATTGCAGACTGGCCAAGGTTTTTGGTCTGGAATGTGCTAAGCTCTCTCACAGGAAACTCTAAGGGACCTCTTTGGCCCCCTGCACTTGCTCAGGTAGTGATTCTGTGTGTAATGTGACCATAAGGCTCTCTTTTCATCTCCGTTAATTTCCAAATTGGCTCATTAAATCTATACATTCCAGAGACTCGGTCCAACATTCCAGGGAACCTTTCCATGGACAATCAGAGCAAGAGTTCTTTTCACCAGGGTTTGCTTAAACAGAGGGTTTGTTAAAAAAAAAAAAAAATCCCCAGGAAAAAATTATCTTCATTTCTGCAAAGGGGAACCTCAGATTCCGGTGCTTTGCAAAGGATCACAGTGGGTCCAGCCTTTGGGCCTGGACCTGGTCCACTTCCTCACTTGTTTGTGGAGCTCCTATTGCCGACTAGATACTGCTCACTAGCGGTCCTGCCAGAGTCGGTGCAGTAAACTCCAGGGTGTCCTTTTCCTGTTTCCTTTCTGTGTTGTTGTTGTGGGGATACAAACATGTAAGTGTGTTTGAAACTTCAGAGGGCAGTTGCCAGGGGAGGTGTCAGTCTTGCTGCCAGATGGGTACATAATGTACCACACATGTGAGCAAGGCACTGGGGAATTTTAGCTGGAATTAACAACTGCACAAGAACTAGAAGCAAATAAATAAATAACCCAAGTGTTCAAAGGCCGTTTATCAGCTCAGTTTATCTCCACTGTTGAATGCTCACTTTTTCCTTGACTTACCTTTTCCATTCCTCTGACCTTCAGAATTCTTCCCACATTTGGGATTAATTGAGGTTGCTCTCACGTTTCTTCGGTTCCTTCATGCCCTGTTATGGGGAATGGCTTGCTCTTTTTCTCTGGAGTGCTTTGGTCCTTAAGAGGCAGCTGCAGGCAATGGGAACATGCTGTGGCCTGTGTGTCAGGAGGAATGGATTCTGGGCCCCAGCCTTTCTGATTTTAGTATCACCTGTAATCCAGGGATGGAGGTAGTCATCTTATCCAAATGCTGCTGCCATCTGCCACTGCCTTTGAGCACCCGCTGAGTGCATGTTGCAAGAGACCTATTTATGAGATGGTCTGTGCTCTCAGGAACCTGTTAATTCCCCCTGGGAAAAGACCCATCAGATAAATGCATACATGTGTCAAAGTCAGTTTGTGCACACTGCCCTGGGACAGAGTTAGTACCTAACAATGGCAGGTGTACAATCCGTATGTTGTGAATAAATGACTGAGTGAATGGACAACGGAATTACAGAGATTCGGTCCCAGCTCAAAGTTCTGTCATATTTACTTTGTTTCACAGCAGGGCAGCAAACCTACTAGTGTGAAACCTTTGTGTGACATACAAGTAGCCGCCTCTTTCCCTGAGCAGCTGCAGCTCCAGCCTGGGCTCCTAAGCTCCCTAGCTATGGAGAAAGTAATAGCTGAAATCCCAAGTTTGTGCGGTGTTCTTAAAAATGAGAACACCCAAAAACTGTTGGAAGCAAAACTGCAAAAATAACTCACAGTGGATTCATGCCTTATCCTCACCAGGAACCCTTGGGCAGGGGTGAAATTGTATTTCTGTGTGTGGTGGCCCTAAGAGAGGATGGGATCTGAAGACAAAGAGAGAGGTAATAATCCCAGATTGATGGGTTACATGTGAGTTTACCATGTGTACCAGTGCCTGGATTCCCTCATCTCTAAAATGAAGATATGATAGTACCTGCTTCAGTGAGTTACTGTGAAACCTAAAGGAATCAATCAAGAGGGGTCAAGTACTTAGAGCAGTTGCTGGATATGGTCAGGGCAAAGAAGTATGAGGTTATTTTCATACTGTTTTGATTGAGGAGGGAGAGGCAGGTGTCAGAATCTGGGGGACTGACCAAACTGTTGTAGGAAAGCTCCATCTCTAGATGACTGAAAAGGTGGGAGCAACAGTGGAAATATCTTGCTTGGTAGGGTATGAGGAAGTGGGAGTTGGATTTTTCTTTTTTTTTTTTTTAAAGAGAGAGTGAGAGAGGA